GGAGCATGTCACACGCAATAGTAAGCCATCAAGAAAAGGTCAGATACAGTAATACATGTTCCAGACTATGGAGAGTAACAGCCATGAACACCACACATACAGAGCAACATATTGGGTGAAAAGAGCCAGGAATTCAGAAGAAGTCTCCGCGATGCACGAGCAAAATGACTGTTCTTTCCATTATGTTTTGAATAACAATGCAAACCTCATTTTGTTTGAAGCAAACATCCAGCGGAGTCTCAGGGCTTGGTATTTTGTTTTTGCACACAAGTGAAGAAAATGGGTTTACAGCACATGGTCTCTGAGCTCTGAGTGTGGGGTCTGCTGCAGGCGACTGGCAGCCCCCCCCCCCGCCCGAGGGAGAGGGGAGGAGCGAGGAAGATGAATACGGGTCGCGAGGTTTGGGCACGCATTTGGTATGTCTGTTAGAGGATGGGTGTCGGGACAGAATATTAATGTGTGTTATATATTTTTAATAGGCCAATTATTCTTCTGTAATTATTTTGTGTTTACCAACCTTTCAAACTTCACCAGGGAGCTAGATGAATTGATGTGAGATGATATTCGTAATTTAAAGCTTGCTTTGCTTATGAAGAAATACTATAACAAGTTATTTTACCAAGCAACCAACATTTACTTTTGCTCATGCTACAGTCTCATGCTGATAACTGCAGTACACACAGTTTATCGATCTGTTGTCGCATGACCTAGTTTGATCCTTGACTTTGTTTATTTGGATATGTTTTTACCAGGTAAATCATTACTTTCAGACATACTGTGTTTTGAGCTAAATGTCAGCACGCGCAAAAATGATAAAACAGCATGCTGTTGTTCACCATGTTCAATAGCTCGTCCAGGATTATTATTTTAGTTTGAAATGACTGAATAATCATCTGATGAGACATGCTTTTGGCTTTCTCAAGCTTGTAAATTATGTGGGAGTAGATTGTCATTTTATCTATCAATCTTCTAACCGGTTTGCCTCGGCTTCTTCTGGCTTATTTGACTTTTTGTGAAACATTAGTGTTGCAGTTAGACCACCCAAACATAATATACATTTTTGCTGCACCTCACAAAAAGTCCTCAATGTGCTAATTAATTCCAAAATGTGCATATTTGATTTGGAGATATCCTTTGTCGTATCACTCATTTAGTTTTATTTGATGCTGTTTTGTGCCCCCTAGCTTCGCCATCCCAGGCAGGGGCGGTTCTAGGGGGGGCCAGTGGCCCCTAACACTGACGTCTGACCCCCTGTGGTCCCCTAAAAAATTTAAAGTGAAAAAAATGGCACTCCTACTTATCCTTACAGATTTATTGACATGACAGAATAGGCGAAATAAACGTTTATTAATCATTCAGAGTCTTGCCCCACTTACAAGCGCGGATGCACTACAAGCACCCCACCCTAGCACCGGCTCGCACTCACCTCCTCACTCGAACGCAGCAACCAACAAACAAAATTACTTCGGAACATCAGAAGGCTGTTGCCATCGCTAGATACCTAAACGTTGTTGAGAGACTACCACGATAATTGGAAGGTGAGTCTAAAGCTATTGTAACACAAGATTGTAGACGTAAAGTAGAGATGTAACTGGTTTCATATTATATATATTGACATTTTTTATATTTATATTATTTTTATATAAATATGATATGTGTTAATGCAAAAATTGTACTATAAACTTAAGCTGAAGCTAACAGTCAATACTATAAGATCTTATCTGAAATAAATAAGTGTAACTGAAACAATACCAATATGACTGTATTGCATTTTTTCTTAGCGCAATACTTCATAACTGTTAGTTCCTCTTTTTCGTCCTGCATTATTGTGCGCTCAGAAATAACTGGCCCCCACTGCGCCCCACCCAGTCAAATTGGTCTAGACGCCACCTGCATACAGCATGCTCTGCAGCCAGCGCTTTTCCCTGTGAAATTGAATCCTATTTTTCTCAACAAGGAAGAGTTGGTCATTCCCCTGTTATTTTTTTAATTTAGCAGGAGAACATTTTGAAATATGGAGCCAATCTTGGTAAAATAATTGACCACAGGTTGCTAAAATTGCGATTGTTTGGAAGCGAGAATCAGGTTTTTACAGCACATTAAAAATGCACAATCTAACAAAGAGATAACTGTGTCAGAGATCGTCGTTTACCAGAATGTTTTTCTCTGCCTCCAGTGCCAAAAGCGCTTCGTTTTGGGGTGATTAAGCTGCACCTCTATCAGGCATAACTGATCAAAAAATAGTGAAGCATGAGTATAAAATATATTTAAATACAAGCTTAAGTCCATGGTTGTCAATTAGATCCAGTAATGTTGCTTCCATTCAGCATTGTTTCCCCATCAATTTGGTTTAAAACACTAAAATGCAAAAGAAGACTTTATAAAAGTAGACGTTTTTCTTTGCTTTACTTACACTCACAATTCGGCTACACCTGTAAACTGGTTGTTGGACTGAATTCATCATAAGAAAGGAGTCATTCTCCCCACAAGCACAAACGTAAGCTTTACCTTTGCTCCATTTCTCACCAAGCTTTTCCTTTAGTCTCCCGTCTCCCGCCTTAGCAGTGTGACCACCACTCTTTTTTCAAATGGTTGTCATGGCATTAATGTTGTTACAAGCGACTCTTCCCATTGGGTTATCAACAGGTCAATATGTTCTAGAGCAGTGGTTCCCAACCACACACACACACACACACACACACACACACACACACACACACACACACACACACACACACACAAGGGGGTAACAGCGGTAATTCAAGTTTCAAAGTCTCAAAATGCTACAACTACTGTCACAAACTGGATGAATGTGAAGTATTTTGTTAAAGGAGGATGAAAGCGTAATTAAGGAGCACTATTGGAGTGACTTTGATTGTTATTGGACTCAGGATTAATTCATTTGGATTCCCGCTGTATGAAGAAATTAAAGGACGGCGCAAGTGGGACCGATCTGATCGTAGCAACTGTGACAAATAATCCAACTGAAACCTGCATGGACAATGATAATGTTTTTAAAAATGCGCTTATCCAGACAAGCCTGGTTTGGACACTTTACGGGCAGAAGAAACATTTCTATTAAAGAAAGAGTTATACATTTCTGTCTTTTTATGCCTTTAATACTACTAACTTGAATTTTTATTAAAATTAATTAGTTAATTATTTTGTATATTTTATTGTAATGTAACTACAAGGCTTTTAGTGACAATCATGTATTGCTTTAAAATTATATGTAAAAAAATAAATAAAGTAAAACAATTTTTAAAAAGTCGATCTTCGCGCCCCCCAGGTTGGGAACCACTGTCCTACACTATGTACCTCAGTTGATTTGGAACGGCTGTAATAGTACAGTAAGAGGTAGTACAGCAGAGCAGACTCACTAACAACTGCCTTGTCACAATGGTTTGTAAAGCTGAATGTTAATGGATTAACTTGCAAAACCTGCAGCAGCTGTGTGAGAGTACTGGTCTAACGCTAACTTCTCTCAGGCTTTAGAGCAACTGATGGAGCTAAAATGACATATGATTCACACTAAGACATTTTATTTTTTATGAGTTTCTCAACTTGGCCAGTTGGCTTCAAGAAAAAGTGAATAAATCAAAGTGTAGAAACTAAATCAAAAACACCTTCTGGATGAATTGATCTAAAGCCTTGTTTAAGGCATGTCATTGAAAACCGCCTTGTTCAATAACCATGTACTTTCTTCGTTGTTACACATCATATCTCTCTCTGCCCAGATTTCCTGGCTATCGCTACGCTTTTAACGATCAAAATAAGGTACATTTGCAAAATATGATCTTTAATCAATACGGACGCTTCTTCATTTCTTTTACTTAAAGGTCCCTTTTAGATTTAAGTGAAAATTCAGATGCAGAGGTGGGGATGAATCCGTCCTCACAGCAGACTCCTGGAAGGGCTGAAGTTGATCCTGATGAACTCAAACAGATCCACATGTCCACTGCCGAGCGCTAGCTGAGTGGCACAGTAGTCTTCAAGGAGTCTGTACAGTTTCTCTGCAAAATATAAGACGATTAGAAACGTTTTGAACCAACAAGAAACATTTCACAAGTCTGATGTCCTGAAATCTCTCACCAACTGTAATTCTTTCTGTGACCAGCAGGTGGTGCGTCTGCTGCAGGCCTTGCTTCAGACTTTCATCCTCAAAGGTGAAGAAGGCCAGACTTCGCTTTGCCTGTGCTGCTGCCATCAGCTGGATCACAGCTGGAAATGAAGGAAAAGCTCAAGGCAAGTGTCGAATGTGTTCCTGGGTGAAGAATAAATGGATGGAGACTGAAAAAGTACCTTTGAGTTGTTTGTCTCCATTGAAAGCTCCACAGCCCCAGTTTCCTGTAGCGATGTCGGGCTCATCGGGCCGATGACCCTTAAATCCACAGTATGCCTTTTTTAAGGAAAAAAAGAAAAATGATTACTATAGATAAAACAATGCCTGATAAAATGCAAATGTAACTTTACTATTGATACAGAATGTTTGGTCATGCAGAATAATACAATTACTGTTGAGAAGTCCTTTGAATTAAAGCCAGAAGCAAACATACTTTTCCAAAACAAGAGCCAACACTTTATTACTTCTGTTTGTAGCATGCCAAAAGATCAATTAAGAAAAATACAATATTTAATCAAATTAAAGGCAAAAATATAAGTTGTGGTTGGCTACTTCCTTTAAGATTTGTTATACCATTATTTCAGGAAAAGATTGGTGGGTTATGCATTGATTTATGGCAACAAAAAAAAGATGATACCATATATGGGCTTTTAGTATATGATTATTAGGTCAAATAATATGAAAATAATGATTAATGACAAAATAACAATACACACAGCTCACCTTGTTTAGTTCCCGTGTGACATCGATCATATTGTACTGCTCACTTCTGTTTCTGAAGTGCAAAGCGTCGATTGCCACGATCTGCCTCTGCAGCCGAGCCCACTCGTCTCTAAAAAGATCAAATGTCAGAAAACCGGATGTATTCAAATGTGGCTCGTATAATAAAAGTGATGTGACGACCCCTGCTTTACTCTCTCCTATTGTGTGTGTATGGCCCTTTAACGGTCTCCCTTCCTCCCTATCAGCGCTGATCGAGGGCACCTGGCCGCCGGTATCGGAGGAATGAAAGACTCGAGCAAGAGGCCGTTTCTCAATGTCGAGTAAAGCTGCTCCAGAGCCACTATTTCAAGCATACTACATCATCGAGTGGCGCCGAATCACTGTTTAAATGCCCAGCATACATGTGCTACCAAGCAAGCCTCCTCGACATTGAGAAACGGCCAGTGTCTCGTTCGCTCTCTCGGTTGGAGGATCTGTTTTTGAGAGCAGCTACCTGACTTATGCTTGTGTTTCCCTTCCTCTTAGTTTGGCATTCAACACCTTGCACCACACCACATTCACACACCCACGCCTACACTACTGATCTTACTGATTAACACATCCCGTTGTGGTAGCTCTTTTGTTTAGTCGTTTGGTTTACAATAAATATCTTCCTTATATCGTGTCCGTTCCACGTTTTTGTTATGGCCAAGAGCCAGGCCATGACAGTGATTATACCTGTTGAGGCGCTCCTCATGAGGGCCTTTCCACTGAAAGGTGTCCCCGAAACCAGAGTAATTGCTGAACTGCTGGGAGCCTGAGAAACAGAGAAAAGCCAACATTGAGTTAGTCTGTCTCAATACTTTCTGATTTCCTGTCTCTCTCAGCTCCAAGCCCATTGGTTCTTACTGAAATGGTAAATCTTTAAGAACGCTACACAAAAATAATCATTTTTTTGTCTAAACGGCAGTCCAAAATATTAAGAAAATCACATATAAGCAGAACACATTGGGAACGCCAGAGAAGAGATTGGCAATAATTTAAGCTGTCCACAGCAGTTGGGGAGGATAGTAAAAACATAAACATTTAACTTCTTCTGACATTTTTATAGAAGACAAACCAAACGATTGAAAGCACATCTTTTGGGGACTATTTTAAATCGGATTAATCAACAATTGGGTCAGTATTTAGGGGATCAGGCAATGTCTGTAAACTACAGTTTGTGTGCTATGGTAATGCATGTGGCTCACTGATTCCTTATGATTACACATACACTTTTCTAGTCTGTAAAATGTCAAAACAATAGTGAAAATGCACAAGTTCATATCTTTAAATGTCTTGTTTTGCCCGACCAAAACTCCAAAACCTAAAGGTATTCAGTTTACAATCACATAAAACCTTTTACTAAGTAATTTAAAACATTTAATTTGATCAACAATAACTAATCCATTTATAATTTCTCCACTACGGTACCTGTAACGATCAGACACTCCTTGTCCCCAAGTTTCTCGGTGAAGAGGCGGGACACGATCAGCTCTGGATTGATGATGAACAGGATCTCCTCCTGCACCAGACCTGAGCCCAGCACACCTCCACCGATCCAGCTGGAGGCAAAATCCACCTGCACAAAAGCAAAGGCACAAGAAATCTTATTTAAATAAATTCTGGACAAAAACAGTTGGGAAGGCGATGCTTTAGTTCAGATCTTACCTGAAGCATTCCTTTTCCTTCATTCTCAATGGTGCCATGTGAGGCAACGTGCAGTTTATACATCTTTTTGTTACAGCTGCCACGATAAAAAAAAAGAATAATGAGTTAACTTCTTTACACAAACTTTAGTGATCCTTACTTTTCATATGGTGCCACCTTAAGGTCAACATACGTTGTTTGTTTGATTATACTGAAGGTATTTCTTTATTAGTAATAGACAGGTTGAATATACCTGAAGCTTTAAAAAGAAAAAATGCGTTTTCCAATCGTACTGAAAAAAGTTCAACTATGTTTACAAGTTGGAAAATGGTTATATAAATCCATGACATGAACACTGCTGGCCCCACAGGATCTGCTAGCATGGCTATAGTCTTTTTATATTTAACATGAATTCTCTTTTAGTTATTATAGCATGTATAACTGTTTGAGATGTCTCTATAAATACATATTAATAATATTATTACCTTCCCCAGTTGGGTAAGTCAGTGTCCTTGAGGCAGCGTCTCTCAAACGTCACCAGTCCTGTTGGTTCCCTGGCTGAAAGACAGCAACAGTCAGAGATCTTCACTGACACTCCTCACAAACTGGAGGAAGATGAGGTTCAGCATCAACTATCTCTCACCTGTGACTTCCTGAAAGTAATGCATGATGGCCCTCAGCTTCTGCTTCTTCCGGGGCGACGAGGTACCAAACAGACTACATGCAGAATGAGAAGAATAGATTATTTAGGCTTGGCAATTGGATGTGCAACAGAGTGGTATGGGTGTTTTCTGACCTGGTGAAGTTGATGGAGGGGTAGTTGTGGTACTCTGCTTTAGGACCGGAGGCGTTGCGGTGAGGGTAAGTGCAGAAAAATGCATTGGCGAGCAGGCAGGCTATCTGAGTTTGCGACAGGGTGATGGCTGCAGTGTGTCCCCTCTTAAGCAGCGGGACGGCCTGGAAACATAGATGCAAACTTGGTCAATTATCAAATATCAATGTGATAGTGATTACTGTAGAGTGAAGCTGAGACAGTGAGTGTCATACCTTCTTCACGAGCTCAGGCAGCCTCAAGGCCAGCTCAGCTATCCTTTGAAATAGTTTGGGTGAGTAATTATCTCCTTTCGGGATGGCCTGATGATGAAATATAATTATAACAAATGATTAAAGGGGTTTCTGCCACAAAACAGATGTTTGAATAATGTGTTAACACGTGGGCACTGACCTTAACGAAGCTGGAGAGGGCATCAAAGGACCACTGACCTTTGTACTTTGGGTTATATTTGATGATAGCTTCCTAGTGAGAGATACACAGGTTGAAGGAGTACAATCCATGTTTACTGCAGACACGTTAGAATAAGAATCAGGTTTATTGCCGAGTTGGTTGTCGTATATACAGTATGGATTGTGCCTTACTTCTTGTCCCAAATAACAGTGAGAGAAAAGAGTCAAGATTCAAAAATCTAAAACGGAAATGTACTACAAAACATGAATGTATGTTTTTGGGGCATTTGTCCTTTATTGATAGTGATCGCTATGATAGGAGAGAGGGGATGCCTAAATACATACATTCAAAAGAAACAAGTATAGAGTGTTTGAAACTAAGAGGAAGGAATGTACAATTGTTCACAGTCTGAGAAATATGGTCAACGTGCAAAACTAAATATGCAAATGGTGATGGAATAGCCAGATTACCTCAAAATCATTGACGCTGGCTGTCGTCTTCTTGGACAGAGAGCTCAGCTGCTTGGAGATCACTTCCCACCTAACCTTGTTGGTTGGCTGTAAATGGAAAAATCAAATAACTTCTCAGGACATTTACTCTATTCGTTTTGATATAATCCGCCATTATTCTGGAGGAGAATGTATCTGTATCCCTGAAAATGAGGACATCATATATTTCCTAAAACTTGTCTTGTCCCTACCAACCTCTGGATAAACATGATGTGAACAGCTTCAAACTAACCATCACAAATCCAGTCTTCATGTAACTCGACTGAGAATACGGCATTTTCACAAAGTCACTGTGCCACACGTCTCTTCCATCCTGAGGCATAAGTCCTGCTCCACAGTTGAAAACGGCCACCTGAGTATAAAATAAGAAAAAAATATGAGAGGAAAATTATAAAACGGAACATAATATCTCTTATTTCCTCTCCCATTAATCATGTCTTGACCCCTGAGAGGAACCATCTGACTGAACAAGCTCAATGTATATAAACTAGTTATAAGTAGCTTAACATCAATCATCTATGAAGGTAGAATGCTGCTCTAATATTGATGAATCTAATAATGTCACATAGAATCAGATATTGGTGCATATTTTATTCACCAATATCTGATTAAGGAATACATTTTGCACGACTTATAAAAGAGTATTTCTACATTGTGGAATTCATAATTTAATTTGTTGAATGATCTTAGTTGTTGGTGAAGTAGAAGTCTTAAGTAGCAGAACAATGAATTACTTAGTTAAAGTACAAGCGCCTCAACATTGTATTTGAGTATAGCCCTAGAGTAAATGCACTTAGTTACTGGAGATAGAAGAAGAAGGCTAACATCTTACATCTACGAGGACAGTGTGCGTTTTGCTGAAGTCCAGACGTCCCAGCTTGTTGTCAAATTGTGGAATTCTTTTCATATCCTTCAGCAGGCAACAAGATGAAGGGCCGTCCTCCCTCTTCTTCCTCACTGCTTCAGCCCCCTCAACATGTGTAGCACTTACAACATCCGGGGAACTGGAGGGTTCAGAGGAAGAGGGTACTGAGGAGGAAGGTCCAGAGGAGGAAGGTCCAGAGGAGGAGGGTCCAGGGTAGGAGGGTCCAGTAGAGGGAGGTGCAGAGGAGGGGGGTCCAGGGGATGAGCTGCTTGCCTGAACTGAGCTTGCTTTTCCCTCAGGATTTATATCAGATTGAAAACACTGTTTCACCTGCTCAGAGTTGTTTCTGCGGTCCACTGACATTTCTGGAGGTGAGAGACAAATTACAGTGAAAAGGAAGTGGCTGAAACACACAAAAAAGGTTCTAGGAAACAATTAAGAAGAACAGGATGTTTTATAAATCCAGAATATGTTGCTGGACATTTCAAACTTGTAATAATACATTTCTCTCCTGGGAATTATAATTTGTGTCTGATACGATTTCCCAATTAAAACATTCAAGTTCCCTTCTTTATAAATACTGTGAATGAAATCTCCCTACTTTCCCTCATTGATATTATAATCTATGAATAGGCAACTACTTATTTCATCTCTAAATGCAGGAGGAGCAGGCCTGACCTTTGCTCTTGTGCAGTTCTCCAGTCTGAAGCCCTTCTGTCATTTCCCTGGAGCGTTTGCTGCTTTCTCCTCTGTCGGCCACATCTGGAGGTAAGAGAGCAGGCTTCAACTCTCTACATCACTTACAGGGGTTAAACTGAAATGTAATGTGAGCTCAGGGAAATGTTCCTCATTCAACATTCTGCACTGCAAAGCTAAATTACAGTAAAGCAACAAGAAGCAAAACACATTTTATTAATGAAGTGGAATTAAAGTAGACTCTTTTAATAGTTATATGCAGAGGAGGCCTCACCTGAGTTTTTGTTGCAATTGTGCAGTATTTCAGGCTTCAATATATTCATGGAGCTGTTGCTGCTTTGGCCCTCAGCCATCCCTGGAGGTAAGACAAAAACATGACAGTTTGTAAAAAGAAAGTGAGGGATTGGTCGTAAACTTTTGACCTCATGACCGCCTTACAAAACTGATTGTAGGTGATCATAACAGCTTTAACATTGATATAAACAGTGGCGGCTCCAGAGTATTTTTGTTGGGTAATTTAATGGTAGGGCTAACCCATACAGTGGTGGGGCTCAAGTGAGTATTTGCAATGTAATTACGTATGCTCCCCTTGACAGTGAAACGCCACGTGTGAGGTTTAGATTATTTCCCTGTCTCAATCCAAATTGAACTGTATGAAATAAAAAGGCACATTTGTCTTGTAGTAAATAAAAAGAGAGACCTGGAGCTAATCCTGCAATTTCCCAACAGGTGAAAGAGTTGACATGCTGAAAACCCCACCCCTGCAGGGGGGTCCCCAGGAGATTTTTTTGATATACTAACATAAAATACACATTCTGGTACTCTCTTGAGAAGAAAAATAAATAAATGTATTACTACACGACATATTTAAAAAAATGAATGCCATTTTAGTTTTTTGTTACTTTGTTCTGAAAGCTGAACTTGCTGCTCCTCACAGAGAGAAGAGGGAAGAGGCTGTGTGGTTTACTTTACATTGTGGATAAGGGTGGATAGCCCCCATTGTTCTGTGTGTCAAATGAAAGACAGCACACACACATCAATCATCAAACCGTGGGGTCTTATTTCATTACTTGTTGATTTCTATCAACGTTGTATCGATGTAGATGTACTACAGGAAAGGAATTCTCCGTCGGGACTTCCTGCAACAACACCACGCCGTTATCGTGATTCTGATTGGCCAGAAGACATTATCAAAGATGTTCTATTGAGAAGACGATCACTACGTGACAAAAGTTTTCAAAACCGCTTCTAGTCTTCGGTATTTCCAGACAAGTGGCTGAAATCAATCTTACTAACTGCTGTCTGTGCAATTTACTCCACGCGAGTTGGCGGACTTTATTTTGGCTTACTTTAGCATCATTTTTCATGGTGGGGCTAAGCCATTGGTATGGCTGTAGCCTAGCTTGGCGCCGCCACTGGATATACTAAACGTTAATGCATAATGTTAGTCAGGGACGTGCACAGGTACGGGCTAATGTTGCCCGGGCAACGGCCCTTTTGAACTTTTTGGCTGACCTGCCCCTCTGGAGAGAGTGAAAGTCTTTTTTTTCTGTTTTGGCCGAATAAACATGATAAGCCCACAATTAGTATTTTAGAGTCTCACTGCGATAAAACACACCTTGTCAGCGCTGTCATCTGCCCCCAGTCACGTGACTTTGTTTACAATCTGACAGCTGAAAAGCAAAGGAAAGCCCTCCGAGTCCGGTCCGGCCTCAAATGGCTATGGTGATCATGTGCCTGCCTGGCTTTGGTGGCCAATCC